TGCAATGCGCGCGTGTATTAGAAAACATAACGTTATGCAGTTTATTTACTAATTGTTTAAGGCCATTTCGCGATTTCAATCATCATACAGTAACCAGCAACAATCACCCCTTCCTCTTCTCATTGAAGACATGCGATGCAGTCCTAAACAGTCTCTCGCTGTCGGCGCTTGTAATGATTTTTGCGTCTTCTTCGACAGTTTAAATGCTTCCACACTGCTGACGTGTGTGCTGCATAATAAAGAGTGCGCGCCTCTCATTCTGCGCTGGTTGCTATTTGATCACGTCATATCATTGTTCGGTACAATTTATTCGGTCTTTTCGCTTATAATTTCAGTTGCCGAACATTCGGTGCGTCCCTACTTTTAAGGGTTAATCTGACCTGCTTCCAATGTTAAAACTAGTCCTCCATATTCAACTGCAATTCAGACTTTGTTTCATTCTCGTAATAAACCGCATTTAATCAATCGTCATTGGATGAAATCAAGTTCTGCCATACATTTTATTTTTAATAACCTGGTTTGCTCAATCACGTGTTACATTTACGGAAGTAAAATTGTAACCAACTGAAAGAAAAGAGACATTTTCAAAGTCCAAATATCAACGGTCTATCAACACCAGATGAATCTGATGTCACATGCTCCCTGTTCTTCCTTCATGAACCATTCTGCTGAAACAGCTTTCCAGACTAGAGTCAGCGTTCCCGCATGGAAGCACCAGCTCTGGCACTGTCAGCACTGAGCTCAAGTCAATTCATCATGTGGCTGATTCCGTCTGATGTGATTTGCTCGACCACACACACCTTCATTTTCTCGATTTTAGTACAGCTGTGAAGTCTGGCTGCCAAGTGTCATGAGTTACGAAAAACTCAATTTCACGTCATTTCACTTCAGTTCATGTGCAGTACAACATTCATCATTCTTGTAAGCACTGTCAGAAATAAACATTTTAATAGGGAAATGGTTTAATTTCTGGAATGAATTTTCAGCTGCATTTTTATTTTATGAGGCCATTCTTTTGCAATTTTCTTGGCTGATTTTTTGTTAGTGTGATCTGCCGATACCGATTTTTTCCGGTTCCGATTTTCTTTCTAAGAACTATAATTGACAGCATATACAAACAAAAACCTACTTTTCTTCAACGCAAAGTTTTATTTTCATAAAAAATAACAAGTAAAAAGTCAGTAATAAAAGTTTTTCAGGTTAAGTAAGTTTTTATTCAGGTAAGAAATACTACAGAAATTAAAGTAATCAAATGTAAAATAACACATCCAGTGTTAGTAATTTACCCATCCAAAATAACACATCCAGTGTTATTTTACATTTGATTACTTTAATTTCTGTAGTCTTCATTGTAAAAATTAAATACAGATTAATGCTTACCATTAAAGTTATAAAACGTATTCAGTCAAGAGCAGAAAATTATTTTCTTTGTCTCTTGTTCTTTGATTAACATGACAGACAGCAGCAGGAATATTGGACTGCAGTCCCTTTAAGAGTTTATCCACCGACCCAATATACTGTTACACAACATGCGTCCTCTTTCTCAACTATTTAACGTTCCAAAACTGACTGGATAACTGGATACTCGCCAAGACGGGCACTTTGACATAATGTTGTATGTATTTGAACGTTTTAGCGCAGTTAGCCACTCATTTTGGTATTTGTGGCTCACAAGCTGTTTGAGACTGAGCGCGGCTTGTGCGCTCCACTAATATAGATCAGTGATGGTGCGCGCGCTTTTGGTGTAAGCGCGAAACCTGCGGGAATGACTAAAATAATGCGCAATACAAGCACCTTTTAACCGGAGCGAATGAGTGAAAGTGAAAGTGACGTGACATGTGGCAAAGTATGGTTACCCATACTAGGAATTAGTGCTCTGCATTTACCCATCCAAAGTGCACACACACAGCAGTGCACACACACAGCAGTGAAAACACACACCGTGAACACACACCCGGAGCAGTGGGCAGCCATTTATGCTGCGGCGCCCGGGGAGCAGTTGGGGGTTCTGTGCCTTGCTCAAGGGCACCTCAGTCGTGGTATTGAAGGTGGGAGAGAGCGCTGTACATTCACTCCCCACACCTACAATTCCTGCCGGACCTGAGACTCGAACCCGCAACCTTTTTGGTTACGAGTCTGACTCTCTAACCATTAGGCCACGACTTCCCCCATGAGACGTGTGTGAGAGAGAAAGGGTCGTCGGAGAGAAGAGAGCGAGAATGCGCGGCTGGTGTTATTGCCTGTGCCGCTGGTAACAAAACGGATCAGCTCAGAATCGGAAAGAAGTGAGACTGACCAGCCGGTCACCGATCCGGGCCGATCATGAGGAAAATCGGCCGATTCTGATCCCTGGCCGATTGATCGGTGCATCTCTAAGAAAAACATGTATGTCGTCCATTTGTAAAACAGTTCAAATTCAGTTTCTATTAAAGTCAGTATGAAATTAAAATGAACCCTAGATATAGATTTTTACTTTCTTAGCTCACATTACTAGTACTGTTGTAAATATACTAGTTGTAACATTGTCAAAATATGTTACAATTAGGGCTGCACGATTAATCGCATGCGATATTTAACGCGAATCTTATCAGTAAAGCCGCGCTGTAATTCTGACAAGATGCGCGTTAAATATCGCATGCGATTAATCGTGCAGCCCTAGTTACAATCCTTTTTTATAGTTTACTCTGACTTTAATTGAAATAAACTGTGAACAATTATGGCTGTTGATTTGAAATCAAATCTACCTCTACATATAATGCACAATCATAATACCCAATACAATGAACACTCTGCTAGAATACATTTGAAATAATAAGATTTATATATTAGTATAATTATATGTGTGTATATTTATGCCCTTTGTCCAGCAAGTGAAGTGATTTATTAGTTACATTAAAAATTTGCATGTTTGGTGCCATTTTTGCCTTGAATTTCTGAAAATGTTCTCTGAAGAAACTAGTTGGGGTTTGTCCCTTTCGAAAAAGGATTAACATGAAACACAAAACACAAAATCAGCAAAGAACAGAGATTAAAGATAAGATAGCCAAGACAAAAATATATATTAATTGTGCATTTACACAAAGAAAAGGTGTGCACAATGGTTTGAAAAAAAAAAACCTGCCTGTTAAAAAATAGGAACTGGATAGAGCACATTTCATAATAACTCAAATTCCAAACAAATGCTCACTGATCAGCTTTTGCAGAGTACAAGGTCCTAGATCTGAATTCACATTCATAATTAACTTAATTATATTGTGTATAATAACCCTATCAACCTCGGTGGTTAATATTTTATAATGTAAATTTATATATGGGTCAGTTTTACTATATTTTTCACATAACATGATTTTTACATCTGTCACTGTAGGAATTCCAGGTTACACTTTATTTTAAAGTGCCCCTGTTATGCCATTTCCAATATTGCCTTTCATGCAGCGTGTAATGTAGCTGTATGTAAATGTAAACGTTCAGCAAAGTTGTAAAGCCGAAAGTGCACGATAAATAAAGTTATTGTCTCCCAAAATAAAGAATTGACTCTCTACAGCCTAAATGAGTCATTAGTAATTCGAATTCCACTTCCGTGACGGCTATACGTCATGGGGTAACACATTTGCATAATTCCCGCCTATGTTCTACATTGGCTGGCAGCGAACAACTTGACCCCGCCCACAAACAAGTCATTTTACTGACGACTGCTTCTCTAATCTCGGGGAGTTCAACGCGGGATTCACTAAACGCTTGCTCTTGAACGATGGCACAGTACTCCGTTTATTTGGACCAGCTGGCTCCACTGAATTACAAGTATGATAATTAATAGATGTTTATATTTTTTATCAAGCGTTCAAAATATGGAACTATGGCAATGGGCGTATCGTTTCCGACACGCGCTGTACACAGCAGACCAATCACAACAGACTGGGCCATCTGACCAATCAGAGCAGAGTAGGCTTACGGAAAGGAGGGTTTTAGAGAGACTGAACTGCTTTGAACGAATCGTTTGAGAATCGCTGGAAAATGAGGCGATATTAAATGCATATTTTGAGAAAACGAAAGCGTTTTTTGACCTTGCATGCATGTAATCCTATTGTAGGAGACTCCCAAAACAATATTAGGAACCTTAAAAATGGCATAATAGGGGCACTTTAAGGTGTCCTTGTTACAGTGTAATTATACATTTAAGTACTGAGTAATATTAATTAACTGCATGTACTACATGTACTTAGGGTTAGGTTTAGGATTTGGTTTAGGGTTACTTGCATGTAATTAATTGTTTTTATAATAGGCTAATAAGTACATGTAATATGTGTAACAAGGACACCTTCAAATAAAGTGTTACTGAATTCCATATTTAAAGCCATTTGGTTATGTGAACGAATGGCTTTCATATTTAGTTTACCATTTTAAATGTTCATATGCATGTCTCTAGTTTACATATGGATCATAAACAATGATTCAACCTTTTACATGCAAAATACAAAAAAACATTTCACATGTCTGCTCTAAGCCTGGCTTCTATTTAAGCTCCTTAGTCCTGTTGTGGAGTTGTGCAGGCTGCCATGGCACCACAGACCCAGTTTAACTGCATCCAGTGAAGGGGATTAATTTTACAGCAGAGCAGCCCATGACAACTCAGTCCTCTCAAGGGTAAATGGAGGAATTATTTCCATAAATAAGAAAAATTCCCTCACCATATGTCTCTGACGTCAAGAACATATTCTGAAACCCATTCTATTGTGGTCGCGTGTGCAAAAGCGAGATACTGTCTGTGACTACGGTTACAAGACCTGATACAGATTCCAAGCAGATTATAGCAGCAGCTGCACCACGTTACCTCGTTAAAAACAAAACATATAGATTCAAGATAAGAACAATTATCTCGGTCTTAAAGGTCAACCACACTGCTGCGAAAAATTCATTTTCACCAGGCATTCGCTGGGAGGTAACGTTAGAGATGATTCGTCATAACAATAATGCATAATAATGTGCAAAGGGATTTTTACCTGAAAGTGGTAAATCTTTGACATCCAGGCCCGTGAAAACAGACCCCTCGCCATTGCAGAAATTGATCATCTCAAAAACTGTGAGCTATCCAGAGCAGAGTCTCCGTATGCCGAATAAGAAAATGAAATAATGTCCAGCGAACTTCAAGTGATTTGGCTCGCGCTACACATGACGTGTACGGTGCTCTCGGCCAGCCGAGATCCTTACATATTATTAGACTCCACGAAGGCTACCGTGTGAATTTATATATTAAGAATTCATGTTATTCGAGTCGTCTTGATTGACATCCAGCGGCTAACATTTTCAAGTGCAGCTGTTTTAAAATAGCGAGACAGCAGCATGTCAAGGGCGCAGGCGTACACAATTTCTGCCGACCTAAAGTTGTGCTTTTTCTCTTGAGCGAGCTGTTTGTCATGTTTACTGGCGCCCTCTATTGAACACCATACATATAATGCTTTTTTTTTTTTTAGGTATGATTTGCTAATAGGAACAAATGCAAGTTGCAGCACATAAACATGCAAATTTAATGTCCATTTTGTCTGTATATTAGTACTGTACAGGCTAAAAGTTATATTCTTAAAATAAATCTAAAACTTAATTTTATGAAGCTTACTGAAAGAGTATTTTGCTTTTTTTGTAAGCAATTTTTATGTTATTTAAATTTTATTTTTACCCAGTGGTGAGTGTTAAAAGTTATCTTGAAAGTGGTTTGAACTGATATGTGTTTTATTATGCAAGATTAATTCAAGCTTGTATATCAAGGTTATTAGCTATAGTTAACTCTGAAACCACAAAAAAATACATGTTTGTTACTTGAAATAAAATACATGTTAAATAAAATATTTGAAAACGTACTTTATTTCAGCAAGTTGTCAAGGCAACCATTTTCATTAAGTTTATTTTTGTACTAAAATAACCGAAATAAAAAAGTCATACAAATTACAAAAACACACAACAAAATTACTAAAAATGTAGGCCTAACTAAAATTACAATGAAAATTAAAAATATAAAATAAAAACAAATTTAAAATATGAATAAAAACTATAATAGTATCCCAATGATACTAAAATAGCAATATTTTAGAAATAAAGGCTATAATATTTAAAGGAACATACAGATTGTGCATTGTGCCATGAGCCACCTTTGGACAAAGATCTCCAAATAAATCTTTCTCGAGGCTTAATCAATGCTGGATTTGAAAGGGCAAAGTCTGGTTCCATTCAAATGGCCCTTAATATACGGAGGATAGTGACACTTAAAAATAAAGGAATAACTAATCAGTATAATAATTCAAACATAAAATTTAGATAAAAAATCACTTAGGCCTATTAAATCGACAAGTTAATTCACATCTATAAAATTGTTTACTTAATTGATGTTTTATAATATAGTTAAATAAATTCATCAAAATTATCAAATAATCTTTACATTGAATTTTTGTTATTAAATAACTTATTTAAACTTATTTTAGAGGCATGTTGAAACAAGCTAGCCTTATTAATTATCTACTTTTAGAAGTTTTCAGTGCTGCCTAATGTAAAGACTATCATCAAAGGCTAGCATGATGGCTAGTACAATGCACCATTTGTATTCCTGGCATGCGAGGCTCGGCTTTATTGGTGAGGCCAACTTAGAGGTACATAATGATACATCCAGCTTGGCAGAACACACGAGTTCAGTCTAGGTCTAAAACAAAATTGCAATATTGTAATACCGTGGAAAGTAAGCAGATTGTCATCTGTTTGCCATACATGTTTTTCAGGAAAAGTTGGTGGCCTTGTGTTATATTGCATGTTAGCCATTTGAAATTTTTAAGACACAGGGCTTTACATTCATGTTATATTGAATGTTGCCTTTTGGCCGATATTACAACAAACGCTAACAAAAGCATTGATTGTTACAATGAGTTATCCCTGCTGAAAAAAAAAAAAACAATAGACACCATCACATAATTTGTAATGGTTTTACTGGTTATAATGGGAATTGTATTGGTTTTAATGGAAACTGTAATGGACCCTGTGTTTCTCTACTGGTAATTGGTCACCTTCTATTGGTGGCTTGTTAAAACCAATAAATCCTAATGGAATGTGTCCCAAAACACACTACAAAAAAAACATTTTTTAATGGTTAAAAGCTGATGGTTTGTAATGGTATTTGTAGTGGATTTCATTACATCTATTTCTAGTCATTCAAGACTAAACCTCATGGCCCTGACAGAGACGTGGATCAAACCAGAGGACACTGCTACTCCTGCAGCACTCTCTAATAATTTCTAATTTTCCCACACTCCCCGTATACCTGGAAGAGGTGGAGGTACTGGTCTGCTTATCTGTAATGATTGGAAATTTATTCCTTTACCTTCTCTGGGTATTAACAGCTCCTTTGAATCACATTCAGTCACTATTACCCACCCTTTTAAAATCCATTTTGTAGTTGTTTATCGACCCCAAGCACTACAAGGTAACTTCTTGGATGAATTAGATGTGCTGCTCTCAACCTTTCCTGAGGATGGTACTCCACTAGTTTTGCTTGGAGACTTCAACATCCACCTAGAAAAACCTCAGGCTGCAGACTGCTACACTCTGCTTGCCTCTTTTGATCTCATGAGAGTGTTAACTACAGCTACTCACAAATCAGGCAACCAACTGGACCTTATGTTCACACGACACTGCTCCACTGATCATGTACTGGTTACTCCACTGCACACCTCGGATCACTTTCTCCTTACTCTTAACCTCAACATGGTTACTGACACAACACATACCCCTCAACATGTCACTTTTCAATGTAACCTACGCTCACTCTCACCCTCCCGGCTATCTGCTATGGTTTCATCTTCGCGTCCTTCCCTAAACAGTTAGCATCTCTTGATGCTAACAGTGCTGATACTTTCTGCTCCACTCTTACGTCTTGTTTAGAAACTGTCTGCCCCCTGTCTTCCAAGCCAGCCCGTACCACCCCTTCTACCCCTTGGCTATCTGATGTTCTCCGCAACAGTCATTCTAAGCTCAGGGCTGCTGAAAGGGTGTGGCGCAAATCAAAAAAATCCTACTGACCTTTATGTATATCAGTCACTACTCTCTTCCTTCTCTGCTAATGTCTCCACTGCTAAAAGGACATGCTATCATAATAAAAGTAACAATTCATCTAACTCTCGCATGCTCTTTAAAACATTTTCCTCCTTCCTTTGTCCTCCCCCTCCTTCATCAATTCTAACAGCTAACGACTTTGCCACGTTCTTCATTAATAAAATGAAAACCATCAGTGCACAATTTTCCACAACACAACTGTCAAGCACATCTTACCAACAAACATACATACAAACATTACTTACCGACAAACATAAACGAGTGTTTACATCCTTCTCTTCACTGTCTGAGGCAGAAGTCTCCAAACTCATCCTTTCTAATCATCCTACTACTTGTCCGCTTGATCCTATTCCATCTCATCTCCTTCAAGCCATTTCTCCTACAGTTGTACATTCACTCACTCACATCATTAACACATCCCTTCACACTGGTATTTTTCCCTCAGCAATTAGACAGGCTCGTTTAACCCCACTACCCTTAACCCATCTCTTTTAGAGAACTACAGACCGGTTTCCCTTCTTCCTTTCATTGCAAAAACTCTTGAACGAGCTGTTCAACCAATTCTCTGCCTTTCTCACACAGAACAACCTCCCAACCAGTCTGGTTTCAGAAGTGGACATTCAACCAAGACTGCCTTGCTCTCAGTTGTTGAAGCCCTAAGACTGGCAAGACCGGATTCCAAATCTTCAATACTTATCTTGCTGGATCGTTAATTGATGGACTACACTCATGTGGGTTACTTGTGGATTATTTTGACGTTTTTATCAGCTGTGTGGACTCTCATTCTTTTTTTTTTTTATTGAGAACAAGAAACAAAAGGTCATCATGGGTGTTACAAAGTCAAGACAATACAATTTCCATACATTCTTTGGAGTATAGTATTACACTTATAATCAATGGTGTATGTACACAATCCATTTATCCCAGTACTTAATACATTTTTCCAAATTAAGTCTAACAGTAAATGTAAGTCTCTCCATAGAGTATATTTCGTTTACAATTCCCAACCACTGGTCCCTTGTTGGAGGGTAAACCTGAAACCATTTATGTGTTATGGCTTTCCTACTGCTTGCTAAAAGTATTTTTAATAAGTATTTGTCACTGTCTAGAACTGTTTTAGGAATTTTTCCTAGGTACATGAATGAAAAATCCAACTCCTCCCCTAATATTTTCCCAATTTCAGCTGCCACTTCATGCCAGTAAGACTGTATTTTTGAACACGCCCAGAAAATATGAAAATGATTAGCCACTGAGGTTTCACATTGCCTCCAACAAAGGCCCAGACTCTGTTCATCTGTGCGTATTGTTGTTAATTTGGGAGTTATAAAGAATCTTATTAAATTCTTCCATCCAAACTCACGCCAAGATCTTGAGTTTGTTGTGTTTGCCTGTGTAACACATATATCTACCCAGTCTTCCTCTGCTATTTGAGAGTCTGATTCTTTCTCCCATTTTTGTTTTACATAGTTTGACGTATGTTTTTTACTGGTTTGTATATGTCCATATAATTTCGATACCAACTTCTTATTGTCTTCTTTTGAATATGCATTAATAAATGTTGTAATCAGATTTTTATCGCTCGATACTATACATTTTACTTTTTTATTAAAGTAATCCCTAACTTGCAAATATCTATAAAAATCCTGCTTTTCCAATCCAAATGTGTCTGACATGTCCTGGAAGCTCAATAAATTTCCCTTAGAAGTGACTGAGCAATAAGATGTAATTCCTCTCCAGATCCATTGTTTAAATCTTTCATCCAACTTAGCTGGTTCAAAATCTGGGTCATATGCTATCCGATTTAAAACCCCAGCCTGTTTTTCTAATTGTAATTTCCTCAAAACTCTAAACCACAACTTCACTAAGAATACAGTCCAATTATTTAATTTCCTGTAGCTCCTTTCAGCTAAATTTTAATCCCCAAGTAATGATTGTAAAGCTGTCCGCTGCTTTTGACACGGTTAACCACCAGATCCTCCTGTCAATCCAATTGGCAAAGGGCATCTCAGGAACCGCACTCCAGTGGTTTGAATCTTACCTCTCAGACAGGTCCTTCAAGGTATCTTAGAGGTGAGGTGTCCAAGTCGCAACATCTAACTACTGGGGTGCCTCAGGGCTCAGTTCTTGGACCACTTCTCTTCTCTGTCTACATGGCATCACTAGGTTCTGTCATTCAGAAACATGGCTTTTCATATCACTGCTATGCTGATGACACTCAGCTCTACCTCTCATTCCATCCTGATGATCCGACGATAACTGCTCACATCTCAGCTTGTCTAGCAGACATTTCTTGTTGAATAAA